GTATCTTGCTCTTGGCAGGTGCAAATAATAAAATCCAAATGAGACACATACAACCTAATCCTTAAAAAGGATGACATAAGAAAATGTTATATTAATTACCTGTTATCTTCTTTTTGACGTGGGTTATAAAACTTCTGGGTCAATCACTTCCCAGTCTTTTCCTGGCTACAGTAAATTTTGCTAGTAGAAGACTGATAAGTTAAAGGAAGTGATTCCTCCCTATGTTACACGCTCATGAGTACAAGTACTCATCTCTACATTTGAAAGACAGATAAAGACCATGCAATTAGTAATATATATTCTAAAAAGAGCTCTAGAAGTTCTTGAGAAGCATTAGTATTTATTTCTGAGCAAAAGTGATTGGTTATACAATTAGAGATTGACTAGACACATAGCTAAATAAAGTTAGAAGGTAAAATTCCTTGGATATCAGAGAAGTGTTCCTACAATCCTCTGATTTTGTAAGTTAGCAACACCTTTTTAGCTACTTATAGCCTAATGGTAGGGTTTTAATAATGAGGGATGTGAAGAAGGTGAAGCATCTCCTTGGAGGTGCATAGATAAAGGACAACAACAGACATAATTTGCAGAATTCTGGCTAGATACACAGGGGAAAAAATATCACTGTATGGGTGGTCAAATAATGGACCAAGTTCCACAGAGAAGAAGTGGAATCACCATCCGTGGAGATACTTAGAACTCAACCAAGTGTGTTTCAGCAAATAACAGGATAATTCCCTGGCTGGACTGGATGATCTCCAGAGCTTCCTTCCAGCCTAAATTTCTGTATGATTCAATGATTACGACTACATGAAGACCTCTTTCACGTTCACATGAATCAAGTGATGTCAATGCATGAGCTCGTATCAGCCCCTTGATATCATAATATCAGTCTTTTGGGGTTCTTTTCTGTTATTATTTTACACTGTGTCAATCCTCACAGACACTGGGAATTTTTAAATCACATAATTGTGTTTGCTGACCTACCCTAAACATGGCGATGTTCATATGTTAAATGTGATTTCAGTAACTGGTTTTTTTGTGAGACCTTACCTAATAAGAATTGATAGCCAAGATTGTCAATTTTTTCATAGCAAATGTGCCTTTATAACTAATGAAACTAGTGCTACCTGTATTGTGAAGAGTTTTGCTATTTTTGGCCTATCTAGATGGCCTCTTATTCTGGTGGAGATACTTTGGAAGTGTCTTGGAATATCTGTATCAGTTATAGGCAGCTTGCATGTATTTCTTCTTGGGTGAAATGAAAAATTTAATTATACGAAAAAAATGCAAATTGCTGCCAACTGTGTTAACTGTGAGAGAGTTGCATTATCTTCTAACATAAATTGTCAGTGAATTGAAGAAAAGACGTTTTGGAAGCCGATCTGATTACTGTCAGGGAAAGTGCTCAAACTCAATTGTTGGCAAATGTCCAGTACCCATCACTGAACGATCATCACCTCATCATTCAGTCTTCTCAACTGACATGCAAAACAACATCCAAATATTCATTGCACATCTGTGCTGGACAGATTATGCATTAGCAATTCAAATCAATTCAATGTACAGGCAGTTTCTGTAAAGGCGTCTGTTTGGGTGAGATGCCTTGTTGTCTGGGATGGATAATAAGGCAACTCTGTCTAATCTTGGAGAACAATCAGCCCATCTTGAGAAGGTGACTGACTACGTATGCTCTTGCCCTGACAGCGCTAGAACAATGCCCCCATAATGCACTTGACTCAGCTGGTAATAAAATCTACTTTTGATTAGCAGCCATGGCTTGTGTCAATCACTGCATGATGTACCATTGTCCTCTGGTCCTGAACACAGTTTATTTACAGGGAAACAAAAGCTTTTTGGATATGGCTGCTGCCCAGAGATTGCAAAATAGATTGAGCTGTCAGCCTCACACACTAGATGAAGATTAATGAGTTGTGCAGACAATAAATATGAAGCAATGACCATAAATATGCTAATAGGTATTATCCATATACACTATAATTGCTACAAAAATTAAAAAGTAGTGTAAAGGAAATAGGTCAGAGGGTGACAGATAGATAATCTTGGATGCTGAAGATCTTTGGTTCAGTCAGATTCTCTACAGGTTTATTTCCTTCAATTAGACCCTTCAAAAGATTAATTGTTTAAAAGCTGTTTGAATAATCTCTTTTGAAACAGAGGTTTATGGGAAAATGTTTATGAAAAAGTGACTTCAATGAACATGTTATTGAAATAAAAAAGGTGACTACCAAACGCAGAGATTAATGCCTCCGATCAGCTGCCCAGCTTCACTGTGAGGTAAATATTTCCAAGTGTCACCCTAGTGGGGACTGCAAGGAAAACATACCAAAGAGACATGTCAGTTTATATCCACAAACACAGGAGATTAAGGTGCTTCCAAGCAAAATGTAGAAGAGTTGCCTGCACATTTGATTGCATTGGTTTGTTTGATGTTTTAAGCTTAGCCTATTTTTCCTTTTTTTTTTACCTTTTTTCCCCCTTTTTAATTTAAGAAGAGAAGAATGCCCACCACTCAAATTTTCAGAGTACTTCCAATTCAGCCTCTGGCTTTCCAATTCCTTTCAAAGAGCACATAGTCTAGATTTTTGGCACCTATGGTTTTTATTTGTACTTGAAACTCGGAGTTAAACTGTTAGCTCTGTATTCAAGTTCTCCAGCACCTATGGCTACTGAAATTGTAGTGACACAGAAAATAAGGGGCAGTCATACTCTTGGTATTCATGGCTTTGACTCTCTGGTCTCTCAGGCTTAGAAGTGCCACTGGATGCTTTTCAGGTCAGCTCACACTGCCCACCTCCTCGACAATTTTTTAGTTTCTGGAATGGGGAAGCTAACTTACCCAGATATTCTCCCAGGTAAAATTTACTGTTATAATGCCAAGCTCTGTGACAAAAATAAATTGGTTTGGTTTGGTTTTTTTTTTCTTTCCATACTTTACCTAGAAGTTGCATCCATTTAGCTCTTAAAGTATCACTGCTTGGGTTTTGACAAATAGTCCACAAAGACTTACAACTGCCTGACTGCTTCCGTGCCAGTCTCCTTGAAAACACAGCTGAACATTAACTACACTTGCCTAATATCTTGTTATTTACCCTTTCTAACTATAAATGCTAGTAAAACAAAGCACAATAAATAATTAAAATAAAGGTAGGGAGCCATTTAGGAAAATGTTCACACAAAGCTGCTCAGTCAAAGGAGAAGCACACCTTTCTGGAAGAATCAATGGAGAGAGAGAACCTCTGGAAGCTGCAGGCTCAAAAACTGTGTTCCTGTTCCCAATCCTACCTCAGCAGCGACACTGTGTCTTTCTGAATTGGAGGCTGTGATGTCAATGTCACATGTTGCCAGGGCACAGCAAAGTGCTGTCCCACCAAGGGAGGTGAGCACAGCAGAGCCAGAGATGATAAGGCAGATTGAACCAAGAGTCCAAATCATCGGGCAAGTTTGTAGGGGCAAGACCAAGGCTTCCCTTGAATCCCTCCACTGGCTTTCCTTTCCTTATTACACTGAGTTTCTTCATCTTATTTTCATGAGGCTTCTAGTATTTTCTTCTTTCCTTGCTTATTTGCTGATGTCTCTGCCAGTCTGAATTGCCTTGAGACACTTTTTTTGCAATAAAATTTTCATTATATCTAGTTTTAATTATTTTTAGTTAAACAACTTTTTGTGTGTCCATCATGATTTGTGGTTTAGGACTGGGTAAACTGACACCTCATGCAGAGTCTCTGCAGCTTGTAAAGCCTTCATTTTCCTTGGCTTTGCCAGACTTTACCATCATTTCCTAGTGGGGTGTTTGCAACATTAAATAAATTATATTAACAAAACACTGAAAGTTTTTACTATTTTTGAAGGAGGGATCTGCAGCAATATGTACAAAGAAACTGATATTTTTGGGTTTTTTGTGACTTTGAAGAAGGCCTGTAGCATTCACTGTCCTCTTCTTATGTGGAATTTTTACCTGCATTTAAGCTTTAACTTTAGATATTTTATAATAATTTTATATTGTTGTATTATTTTAGTATTTTATCATAATTACAGAAGACCTAATGCAAGCAGAGTAGAAAACAATAACTGACATTATAAGTAAGGAAACTAACATACATGAATTAAAGAAAAGTTGAATGAAAGAGTAGAGTTAAAAGATCACTGCGGCTTAGGGGTACATGAGCCAGATATCCCACTGCCCGGATAAATAGCATATAAGAGGAAAGGAACAGACTTCATAGCCTTGTTTTATAACCCACCATGTACAAGATATAGATATCACACTATTGTGAAAACACTATAGTTTTATTCTGTATATTCCCTCTTTGAGAACCATTCCTGTGGTAGTGTGACTTAATCAGATATTCTTCTTTACCTAAGGGAGGTCCATGGACTTTTAATGAGCCTTATTTAAACTCCTGGCTAAGAAAGGCTGTGGAAAAAGGTGTGCGTGCCATTTGCAAAGGCCTGTTCATTAAAGGCAGAGGCTCTGCTTTAGAGGGACTAGCATGCAGAAGAACAAAGCATCTGTGTCAATCTGCTCATATGACACAAGGTCCCCTCATGTTTCCTTCCATGTAGAAATTAATTCCAACCATCCATTGTTAGCTGGGTTCTGATTTCCAGCTCTGTGTGAACCAGTGTTTTCAGGGGTAGCTGTACCACAGCTGAACTCTGGGTGTGGTAACCAACCCTCCTGAAGTCTCTGCATGCCACCACTTTACTGCCTTTTTGTCTCTTGTCTTTACTCAGAGTTGTAGGAATTCTTAAAACAGTGCAGTACCTTCTACAGATGCAATTCAGTGCAATAGGGTGCAATGCAAAAGAGTTAAGCTTTCAGCTGCATCAGTTGCCAAGCAATGACTCCTGCACCAGTAATTTGTTTTAGCATCAGAAGAGAAAATTACTTGTTTTGCCTAAATTCCATCCTGGCAACAGCAACAAAAAGACCTATTGATAAAGTCCAGTCTCGTTTCCTGGCTGAGAATAAGTTTCAGTTTCTATTCTTCCTTATCATGGCAGCAGTTTCGTTTCCTCACTGTCAGCTGGAGAGTGTATAAAAAGATGGGCTGAGCAGCCTCTGAGTGCTTCCCTGGAATTCTCACCAGCAGAAAGCAGCATGTCTGACCAGAACGTCCGCAACGCTGGCTTCACTCCCTCTGGGATCACAGGAGGATCCCTTGCCTCATCAATGATGTCCAAAGAAGCCAGAGCCTCTGGGGGAGGTGTGCCTTCTGGAGGCCCCACTTCTACTCTCCAGGAAATGGGTATGAGCAATTCTGTGTGTGACTCTGTGTGTGGTTTTGTGGTTCAGTGCATAGGATCAAACAGCTGTTTCTCCTTGAAAATAAGCTTGACAAATAATCTCTTCCTTCCTACATTTCTGTATGGCACTGAAGAAAGAAGATTCCTCTATTTAACTGTGTGCTATGAGCAGGATATTATTGAGGGTGTTTTCTGTGGGTGCACATACCATGCATGAAAGAACACACACATATTATTCATGAGGTTTTGGACAGTGTTTATTTGAAGTTTGTGCTATCTCTCCATTCTGCCAGGAATCATCAAAAATATGAAGAGTCGTGGTAGCAACAAGCAATGATGCACTTATGCAAGAACATGATCTGTGTAGCTATATTTCATATAAATTACCAGATTTCCCTTGCTCTTTACTCACACACATCCATACAGGGAGAACTCCTAAAACCTTATGCAAACTCTGTAGAGGAGAGAAATTAGTTGCAGTCCAAGAGACGAATTCACTAAGGGAATGTATACACATCCTTGACATCCCCTATCTAAGTGCTAAATAAGGCAAAGCTGCCCTTCACATGAGCTAACCCTGCAGGTGTTTGCTGTTCTGCTGCTGGCTGGGAGCAGTCCCTGACCAGGCGATTCTTACCAACCTGGCACTTGTTTAACCCCAGATCCCATGGGATTTGTGCACAAGGCATTCTCCTTGTCAGACCTGCCTGTGTGACCTGATTCAGCAGGCATCCTCTGAACAGGCGTGCTTCCACAGAACTGTGCCCCATGCAATCCTGCTTTACCCAGCAGCTCAGTATTAGCTTTCTGACCTTGGATAGAGGCTTCAAAACTCCTTCTGCCCTCGGGGTCTCAGACACACATGTCCATGTGTCAGAGGTATGCCAGCAAGCAGGCTGATTGTAGGTAGGCATCTCTGCCATATGGGTCTACCACTGGTCTACTACTTCCATAATCAGTAGGTAGAAATCCGAAAGATGGAGCTGAATGTGATTTCTCCAGCCATAAAATGGGTGGTTGACCAGGTAAGCTGGCCAGGGTTCAGATTCAGGGCAACTTTTAATAGCCAAAAGTATGTTAAGCTTGATTGAAAGCAAATAATTTGGATTTTTTTTTTTTTAAGATTGCCAGTATTATTCATAGAGTGAGGCCCTCTAGGCATTGAGTGAATAGGTGACATAAGGGTCATTCAGAGACATACTGCGTGTGACTCCTTGTGGCATTTTTAAATTTTCACATTGTATGATTTGAATTTAGGTTGCTGAATACAGTGTTTCTTGAATATTCGGTAGGAAAGAGCTTAAGGAATAGTTGCAGCCAAGGGCAGAATATGAGAGAAAGTCAGGAGAGGAGTGGGACAGAGATAGTGAAAAGCAGAGAGGAGAGCTGCTCTCAGGCACCACACTGCCTTAGCAGCAGAAATCCTGATATGCAGGAGATGCCAGTTGCTCACTGTAGTGATAAGTTAGTCAGCTGCACAAGCTGCCCTCTGTTACAGACCAGGGTGGTACAGCACACTCATAACCAGTGGCAAACTCTTCAGTGGAGATGCCCTATAGAGAGCATGAAGCTGCCAGTTCTAAACTAAAACACTGAAGATTTCTATCTCTCTGTTGTGCTGAGAATTTTTATAAGAAACAGAAGAAAAATAAGCATTTAACTATGCCTAGTTTTGTTCTTGCAACCTCTGTGTTAACTGTGAACTTTTATGAAAACCACCATTTTGGTGAAGAGAAGTCTGCATGACTCAAGGAAACCTTAGCCATGCCGACAGGAGATACTCCAAAAGAGCTTTTATCCATGTGGAAAATGCTAGCTCTGTAACATTGCCAAGACAGGTGTGAGCTTTGGCTCCCTGCAGCAGGAGAGCTTGCCACATATTCTTTGCCTGATTGAGAGCTAAAAGGGCCTGATTTCATTTCCGCAGGTGCTCACTGAAATCTCTCCAAACACATCTTCTTAACCTTTTCATTCAGACTGTAACCCTTCCTCCCCCCAGAACAAACATGCTCGAAGGAGCGGCTGATTCTGCAGTGGGGCATGAGTATTGTTCAGTGTCACTTTACAGAAGATGTTATAACAAGCTCATCACCAAAATATTTGAGCATCCTCCAGGAATGCTTTAAGCATTATCACTAGCATTTGTCGTCAGGAATGCTTTGCTTCTCTCCAGGAGAAGAGGAGTTTGCAAAGGAATGTTTTGCTTGGGGCTTATTTAGACTGAGACAAAGATATACATATTAATTGGCCACTGGCTACCACAACTTGTGGTACTTGAATTTTACAGGTATCTATTACAGGTTTATGTGAGGGAAAGTGAAGTGAAAGGAGCATGTTCAACACCTGGAACAGAAAGTGCAACAATTCCTAGTTTCTACAGAAGTTTGTTCCACAGTCCTCAGGCAGCTTCACAGAAAAGTGCAATTTTAGCAGAGGCAAATTGTGCTGAAAATATCTTGGAGATCCAGGTTTATAAAAAACAGTCTGTGCAAAAGCCATAGATTTTCTTTGTGTTCTGGGGGCTCCTCAACAGCACTGATAATATCCTTTCCCCAAGGTGGCAGCTAAAAAGCAGCAGACTGACAGAACACATCAAGTGATCAGCAGACACCTTGTCTTTTGATACATTTGCTAGCCTTGAATTGTTTTAAAACACAGTAGTTTGTAATTGTCCTGTAAGGTTCCTTCCTTTTTTGTCAGTAACATATCCTTTGTAACTGTTCTAGGTGCCAGAGGCACAACCCACTCATCAGGGTACACCAGCAGTGGGATCTCTGGTGGATCCAGAGCCTCCAACACAATGTCCAAGGAGGCCACAGCTCATGGAGGTGGAGTTCCCAGGGGTGGCACAACTTCCACTGTCCAGTCCGTCAGTAAGTGAGAGTCCTCTCGATAAAGATGAATTAACAAATGACTTCTGAGCAGTCAGCAATACTTCGGTTCATTTTCTGTACATTTACTAGATGAAGGGATGCAAGCAACAGGAGTGGCTGCTTTGTATTTGAAACAATATTTCTAGTACTTGTATCTTTAACCTTTGTGGGTAGATGAAACTGGGGAATTAGTGGAAATAATTATGCCACGAATTTGCAAAGGTATGAGAGGACAGCAGTCAGAAATCTGAATCACAGTGGCAGAAAAAAAAAGCCCAATGGACTTTTAGATTATGCTTTCATCAGCACCACAGTGGCAGTTCAATAGTTCTTTTTCAATTACACATTTAGGATGGGCTAAGGGCTCCACACTTGAACATGCAAAGCAGATATAGTGGGAAAAAAACAGTGAACCATGAGAATGGAGTTATCAGACTGACAGACAGGAATCATTAGTCTACTTCTTGGGGCCTTTCAGAACAGCTTAGCTTTCTTTCCTTTGAAGGAAATTCATTGGGCCAAAACCACAGGAATCTGCCTGCACTTACCAGCTCAAAGCAGAGAACAACAGAAATCTCCCTCATCACTCTGCCAGGTTAATGCAAACCAGACCAGATAGAACAAACCAAATAATGAGAGAGCCTAGTCTATACCTGAATGCATCGGTAAGGGTGATAATTGTGTTAGTAGGATCCTGTGGGGTTAGGAAGAGCCTTGGAGACAGGATTGAAGTTCTTAATTTCAAAATGTGTCTTCCAAATAGTAACAGAGACCTTTGATTTCTGACCTGGGAAGGTTAATGCTTTTATGGTCTGCATATTTTCCTGTGCTGCAACTTTGCTTTTTATTGTCCTCACAATTTCCCTGCATTTCTCCTTAGCCATGGGTGGAAAAGGAGGAAGACGCTGAATAGAAGAAAAACATCAGTCCAAACATCAGCCCAACTCTGCAAGCAGTTCATCCTTCATCATCAGCTTTGACAATTTCTCCCCTTCTATGATCTTCCTGTTATGAAAGGCAAAGCCTTCCACGTGCACAAATAAAGTTTCTGTTAAAATGATGGATTCTTGCATTAAATTAATGGGGACAGAGATGAGGGGCAGTTCTTTCCATGATTAAATATTTTCTGAAGCACAGACAAATACAAGCCAATAGAAGTTAAGGTACTTGGACCGTAAGGTTACCTTAGGAAAATCCTGGGTTTAGCAACACTAGGCTCTTCAGTTGCAAGTAGCTTGCTATGTTTATTTTACAAAAGGTAATTACAGTGCAAAAGTCACCTTCTTGTGAGAGAGAAACAGAAACACTCAGTACAGGGCAGTTCCTTCTAGAGGTACTTCTAATAGGCTATCAAATTAAATTCTACTTAATAAAATTCTACTTAAATAACATGAGCAAACAAAAACAGGTCCAGTATACAGCTCATTTGTATACCTCTAGAGCTTTTAAGGTCCCTTTCACAATAATTTCTAGTGCCAGTTTACTTGCAGCAAGGCGTTAGCTCTGTCCCAATCAGACTGAAACTTCCCCTGCAAACTTATGATAGGTGTGAACAGGTAAGGAAGAGAGCCCATTTTCTGATGCTGGTCTCACTGTTGGGACTTTTTGCTGTTCCTCACACCTGACTCCTTTCCTTCATATATGCTCATGCAATGATGTGTCACCAAATACACATAACATTGTGCATTCCGTATGCAAATTCCCACATGCAAACTACCCCACACTTTAATCTTCCTTTTGTCTTTCTGGCTCCTCATCCTCCCTGCTCTATCACCCCTCTCCCTCTGTATGTCAAACAAAACCACACAGCACAGCTTCTTCTTCCCTTTCTCCACTCCAAGATGGAGGGAGAGAATGTCACACCTTCAGGCCAGAAGTTAAGAGGTGCTGGATTTGGGGAGCTGCAGTCAGTGATCTTCTCCAATGACTCCTGTCACCCTGCTTGAGCATTCTCATCTCAGCTGCATTTCTCTACAGGTGGGAAATTTGTTTGCTCCCATGCACCTTAAGCTGTCAGATAGGGATTTCTCCCTGCTGCCTGGGCACCTTCCAGAATGCACACGAGAAGTCAGCATTTGCCTCCTCCAACACTGAAGCAAAGCTGAATTACATATTGAGTGGTGAAATGCTAGCATGGAGGAGAGACTAATGAAGAGGAGAAGAAATTTATTTTCACTTGCTGTGCTTCCCAAAGCATTAACAGGCAATTGAAAAACAAAGACTTCATTTCATAGGCTAGAGCTGCTGTCCTAACAAGGAGCTATCTTGGGCAAATGTTTAAATGTAACCAGGAACTGAATTAATAAAATTATAAAAATATTTAATTTCAAAGAGACCTTGGTGCCAGGAGAATGAGGGCAGTTCTCTAATCTAAACTTTTGTTGAGGAAGGGTTAACCTTAATGTCAGACTTCTTTGCTTAGGACTTTGTCCCATCAGATTTTGAAAATCTTCCAGAAGGATCCATCCTACACTTTCTTTCCTCGTCCAATGCAGCAGCCTGGAACTACTAAAATACATCTGTGATCTACCAACAGATCTTTTGGATCATAGATCCCTCTATGCCCTTAGCACTGGCATGATTCAAAGCCAGGAGGTCTACTCTGGGTTTTTCCCATCAGAAGTTTTTCTCCATGTGCAAATGACAAGTTATGGTCCCAGAGAACAGCAGGGTCCTTGATCCCCACAAGGTGACAGTCAAATAACTGCTTAGCACTGATGATGATGATAAATGAGTCATAAGGATGAAACAAGTGTAAGAATGACAAGAAATAATAGAAAAAGTCAAGTACATACATAACTCATCAGACAAACTGAAGCTGTATTATCTGAGAAACAATATGTGACCATTTCAGGGCAATTAAAGACCTTGTTTCTTATTCAAAGGGGGGAGATTTAAAAGTGGGTTTCAACTTTAATGTTGTCATTAGTTGACCTCAGGTATTTTTGTCTTATTAAAAAATGACTCACAATAATGAGAGCTGACAAAGAGTACTTATGCCTAGAAGAAGGAAACCAAAGCAAGGATGCTTAATCACTTATCATTTCACTTTTCAGCTTTTATGTAATTCTAGTGTAAAAGTTTGAATTATTTTGCCATCTTTAGATCTTGTGTTGAGAACTAGCTTAGACAGCTTTGCCAAAGCAGGGAGAATTCTCAGCTGCATTTAAAAATCCCTTCACTGAGTCAGCTCTAATAGGTCTGCAGGAGAACAAAGGTACAAGCATCCCCCTGGAAGCCTTCCTCGCACACTGCTTCAGCTAATTCCTCTGTACAGAACTACCAATGAACTATTTACATATTTAACAGAATATAATTGGAAAGGTCAAAAAACAACAAATATTGCAATTTGAATCCTTCATGTCTCTCAATCAATCTTTGCACAACAAATAGACGGAAAGAGAGAGAAAGCAAAAGAGGCAGCAGCGTGTGATTACCAGAGCAATAGCACTGGAGCAAGACACTGCAGAGAGCACATAGCTCTCTGCACAGAAATCGATTTCTCCCATGGGATGAGATCAATAGTTGTCTGACAGGACACTATGCAGGCAATTTAATAGCGTTTTATCTAAATGAATCTATTCCTCCCCCCAACTGGCCTCACAGTTCATAAGAAGTCTCTCTTAGTAAAATAGATTTATTTATTTTTTATAATACAACAGGCAAGGGTTTATCATTCTGAAGACACTTCCATTGTCTACTAAAAATCTATTAAAAATCATTTATCCTGGTTAGTTACTCATTACCAACAACTCTTTCCCAACATCTTTATTCTAATTAGCTAACTCATGGACACAGCCCATAAAAATTACTTTCAGTTACTCAGGAATAATTTTTCTTACCCCAAAACATTCTAAACTAAATATCAGCCTTTCAAGAAAAATATGTTCACATAGCAGGCAAACTCAGTTAACTCAAAGAAGTATTGGTATCTGAAACGACATTTTTATGCAACAAAAAAGTTTATTTATTGAGGAATTATTTACACACAGAAATTGATTGTCCAGTGGATCTATTTTAATAGTGCTTAATAAATAATAAATAATAAAGTCAATCTGATCTTATTAGTGGATATCTGTGTGAAGTAAATGATAATGAATGAGAAACTCTAATAAGCATAATTCCAAGGATGGATCTTTGTCACTCTGGGAGTTTGGTATTGTGCCCCAAAGGCTCTTGTAAATCCAGCTGCAGTTCTTGCTCATCATTTAGAAGATTAGGGGCTGATAAGCAACAGTCAAGCCTTATTAGAACAGGCTAAGGCAACAGGAAACATTAATTGGTAATTTAATGCACAAGGAGACATTAAATGCCTGCATTGTGGTTCAGATGCTGTTTCCTCTATTGATTTCTCCACGTCTTGTTCTATGAAATTCTCACAAATTCTTGGTGGAGAGGGTGTAAGACAAAGCCTAAGTTGAAAAATACCAAAATACTTTTGTTATTTCCTGGGGCTTCTCTTTATTCCTTGTGTTAATGAGGAGCCCATCAGTAGCCCTGCTTTTGCAAGCAGAAGAAAGAAGACTAGTCCCTTGTTAAAGGATTCTTTCTGCAAAGGAGGGGAGAGATCCAAGGTCTAGTAGCTCTCTGCAATGAAATGCTCTCTCACCACCTCACTTGTTCTGGTTTTCTTCACAGTGTGTGCATAGAGCAGGAGCCCTGCAAACCTGGGAGGGAGCTCAGACACTCTTCCTCTAGAAAGCTGGGAGCACTTAATAAAACCCTCTTCTCTTGCTCTGTTTGGGAGGAGATGTAGAAACAGTTGGTGGACTGATCTTCCTCTGGAAGTAAGGAAGGTGAGAGGAAGGTCTTGAAATAGCTGTTTCTTCTCTGACTAAAGCCAGAATGAATCCACTTATATGGATGGATTTGCTCTGTTCCCTCAGTGGTGGATATTGGTGGCTGGAACACCAAAATCTCTCCATTACATACTAGGTCCTGATTTGGGCCCCATTTTAAGACTTTCTTCCTAAGACATCTTTCCCACAGCTGAACAGAAATGAAAGGAGGTGATCGGACAGTGTAAAAAATTCAACATAAAAAGGGGACAGCCTATCCTTTACCTCACTGACCTAGGCACTCTTTGTTCCTCATTTTCTAGTACTGCAGCTTGGGTGATCAAGGGTGATAATTCATGGACACTTTTTTTTAAATAATTTACTTCTGCAGCAATTTAAATATTAAAATGCATTTTGAAGACATGCAGGCCTCATTAATTTCAAATAAACAGTGTACATTATGCTCTGTTTAACAGCATTCAATCCCACTCTTTGTAGCCATGGTCTCTCCCTTCCACCCAGCAGCCTGGCACTGTTCCTGCTGCCAGCAAGTTTCCCCATGTCCATGGCATGGGCTGGGAGGCCACTGTGGGCACAGCACCCCTGCTCTTCAAGATTCCTCAGGACTGTCACATTTGAAATTGGTGTCTTCTTCATACCTCCCCCTGTCTTAAGGGAGGAAACAGCCTCTCTGACTTCATTTAGCATCACTGCAGTCATGGAAGCCTTGGTAGAAGAGGCAGGGTCCACCTACAGCCCCACACATCCCCTCCAGCACTCCATTAATTGGTGCTCTAATTGCATCTCCTCAAGGATTGATCCAAACACAGTAATCCAAGACTGACCACTGGACCAGAAACCTGGAACAAGACCAACACATTCCTTTCAAACCAGTGACTGGGTGTCCAGTGGCTGGGTTTCACAGGGCAGTCCCTTTCCTCTTCAGGAGAGGAAGAGTCCCCAGTACTCCTTCTGTGGGCTCTCATTCCACTGAAATTCTAAGTGTTGTAACTGTTGTGAAAAGCAATAAAGTTGTGCTGACTGCCCAAAATGGTTTATATCCTGACAACCCCACACATTAAAGAGACACAGCTAATAATTCCCTTTTAATACTCAATAATTTTGAAAAAATCATCATTATTATGATAGTAATTAACAATAAATCATTCCCCATCCTTCTCTGTATCTCTTTGGGGTAATACTGAGCATTGAAACATAACCTGGTTTTGTGCTTATCTAATATAAGTAATATTTTATGCAAGCTATCTTCTTTTTACCCATT